ATATATGAATGTATGTATGTATGTAACAGTTAGAGCATATATGAAAGCTTTTCGAGTTAAGAGTCACTCTCTCTGATTGCCATATCTGTATGCGTAAGATGGTCCTTCGTTTCATGTATGATGTATGTTAATTCTGTGAAAATACCTATAATCTGCAAAAACATTGCCTTCATGTGAAGAAAAAATTTTCTTTTGAGAAATAGATTTTCTTGTCAACTAAAGTTCGAATATCATCAAACAGCCTGAATTTTGGCAAGAAATGTGCTGTTAAATGTACCCCTCGCCATGGTGTGTAGTAGTTAACAAGGGTAATAAGCTCTGATTTAAGGTGGAAGTTTATTTAAATCTTATTGAAGGTACAAAAATTGCTCTTCGAAATTAGTTGAAATTGTTTGGATGGAACACAGAGTATTGGTAATTTGCTGCTTACAAACCAAAGCGTGAATGTTTTAAAAGAAAGCTTGATGACAAACTAAGGCAAGCAAACATGATGGCAAGCATAATTAAAACTTGTTCATTTCCAGAATATTCTTCCCCTGTTAACTAAAAAGAGGAAGCGAAAGAGAACTAACGTAAAAAAATCTTTTGATGAAAAGTAAGAATTCAAGACTTCGAACTAGGAAAAAAAATCAATGCCTTCTAGATTCATCCATTGTTTCTCGCAGCATTTCCTTGGCCTCGCTAGAGCCTCTAGACAAGGAGGGCGGCATTTCCTTTGTCACACTAGTGCTTCTAGACAAGGAGATCTCTGTAGATGATCGTGGAGATATTGGAGAAGACGGGGAGGCATTTAGCGTCCTGGAGGCAGGATTAACTTCTGTAACCTCTTCAATGTCCTCGTCCAAGTAGACAACATCCTGCATTGTGAGTTGGTGATATTCCACAATCTCCCTCAAGAAGCGATTCTCACGAGCATATTGAGAATTTTCATGAGCCAGGCGAGCTTTCTCGGCCAAAAGAGTTTCCAGTTGAAGCCGTATCTGAATTGTGTTTATTCAGCACCATTCAACTCAATTCACAGAAATACGGTACTAATATGATGTGATAGTATGTGAATATAACTTTACAATGGGGTTGGTCCTAATTACATTATGCAGAAGGAAGGAATATAAAAAAATACCATGTCATCGTCTGCAGGGTTAACTCCCTTTCCACGAGACTCTCTAAGGATTTTATTCTCTTCTTCTAGCTGAGAACACCGCTCTTTTGCAAAAGCAAGATCTGCTTTAACAGTTTTTAGCTCACGAAGAAGTAGTTTTGCTTTTGCAGCCGTTGCCATTGCCACCTGTAAGCCAAAACAATGTCCAACAACAATGATATCACTGTCAAATTGATTTTAGGTAAGAGATGCACAATAATCAGACATAAGACCATCTAGGGATCAAACAAAAGTTAAGTAATTAACAAACAGCATATGTTGTCTTGTATCATATCACGATTTAGATGTTTACCATCCACAGATGCAAGTTTAAATTTGTTGGTTTGACTCAAGATAGGTGAAGAAAAAGCTGTAGTAGCCACATTTGATAAACGCCATTCAAAGAATACTAATATCAGCTTTCTAATGATATATTAACTTGATTTCAATACTCAATACCCTTGAGTGCATGACCTTACGTCGCGAGATGCCTTGAGCTGAACTTCTTGGCTGGTTTGAGTCTGTGGTTGTGTTGATTGCTGCCAAGGACTGCGTACACCAGAAACCTGATTGTGTTCCTCAGAATTGAAATCCTTTCTCCTTATCTGTATTTTGCGTGTTTCTTGGATGAAGTCTGCAGTCTTATTTTCAACAATTACACGTCCTTCCTGGAAACAGATAACAGAACAAGATGCTGAATGATTCTAGGCTTTACAGAGAAAATTACATATATTTCAACTATTTTCATTTTCAGATCATTTAGTTACTCTCTCACATATTAACGCACACCATAGTGTAATGTAAAATCACTGAAGGTGGACGGACATCAAAGAAGAAACAGAAGTTTGATGGGATTTACCTCCAAAGCATTTCCAATAGTACCACCAATGTTGTTCAAGGAAGATGTAAATGCATGCAGTCCCTTTCTCAATGTAGGATTGTCCATCTTTTCGGAGATTCCAACATGAAAATAGAGATGAAAGGATAAAAAGAGAAGAAATGGAAGTGCTGCACACTGTGATTGCCCACATTATATACAATAACTCAAAGGCAGAGTGAGATAGTATCTTCACCTGGTCACCTCTAGAGGAATTGAACATTTCAAGCCTTGTTATGTCAAGATTATTCGATTGTGGGGAGACATTGTCATCATCGAGAATTGCTTTGGCTTTCCTTGCAAGAACTCCCCAAAAACTGCCTTCTTCATTTGAGCTTCTCATTGACGTATAGTCATAGATAGGACCTCCCTATATTTTGAGGAATCACATCACATAAGTAGATTTCAAGGTACAAGGAGATCATGATAGCTAGCTTCCGATCCATACCATGCAATTCAAAAAGGTACACAAGTAGGTTTAAAAATAATTAGATGATCATTAATCAGACGCAAATCAAGATACAAAATCCAAATCAATTTGGACGAACCATAAAAGATCCGTTTGTTAGATTGAATACAGATTGTATAATATTGATGCAATAGAAGGAAAGCAACACCTTGGAATGGTGTTTGAAAGATGAATGGAAAGCAGAATTGTTGGCATAGGAGGAAGCATGAGAGGAGTCTCGATGTGCAGCAGAGGCCCTGATTGCCTGAGCCGCCAGGGATGTAGAAGAGTCAGCATCTTCAGGCGGGTGGTATTTGTCTTCCTTGAACGTGTCTGCCCTTGTCATCCCATGCCTTCTTCTGTACGCCATCCTTCCTCTATTCGTTTGGAGGGTCGACCTGGGCACCGCCACCACCTCAACAAACAATGGAGTTTGATAAAGAGAGATGGATATGGAATAGAATATTGCTAAGATGTGAATTCACGTCTAAATTAACAAATTCTCCACTTTTTAAGTTTAATTTGATCTTAATATTTTGTATAACTAACTTAAAATAGAGTTGGCAATTAGTTTATATTAATATTATTCTAGAATTAACTAACTTACGATATAGTGGAATAAAACGACAAGTGTAATTAAGTTTTGATATAATACGAAAGAGATACGAGCAAAACTGGTTCAAAATTTAGGCGAGTTAGCGATTGTCGGAGGTCCCTAATCTTAGGGAGGCTCAAAATTTTAAATTTACACAATGTTGACTTTTAATTTTATTCTAAAAATTATATAAGTACTAGAAACAAACTCAGTTCGATAAGTTTGGCAGAGCCAACACCTGACGAGGAGGACGGTCGCGTGTGCTGGCTTCGCCCGAGTCATCGTCGCTGGTCGAGCGCCATTGTCACTGCAGCAGAAAACTTGAATACTTGAGGTTGAAGGGGCCTTCTTTTGTTTTTAATTGTGATTGTGTAGGCCTTTTCCGTCATAGGGCCTCACGTTTTTTTAGAATGCCCAAATGCCCAATCTTCTGTTTCTAGTTCAATCCAACTAGAGGAAATTACACCTACACTTGGAATTAGATTTTCAATTTCACAAATAAGGTCACAAGTTTAACATTTCAAAAATCAAGTTTTAATTAATAATTTAAAAATATTTTTTATTTTTATTTTATATCTATATACAATAAAATAATTTGACCAACCAAACCCTAAATCATTTGAACCAATTCTTCCCCTCCAC